TCTGTTGTTATACTACATATGCAATTTATAGGTACTTTCAAAGTTGAAATTCCTTCCATAAATTCATGAAAAATATCTGACCCTGTTGTAGTTTCCTTCAACAGCCTCATGCATGCTAGTTCCTCTGTAATACAGAAGTTTTTGTCAACACCTCTTATAAATAATAGCAACTGTGCAGTATCATTTATATCACAGCTTTCATCCATAGTAATTGAGCAGAATTTAGATTGGCCAATCTTTGATTCCAACTGTGATAATATGTTTTTATCTATTGCTTCAATTCAAGAAGTCACTGTTTTCCGAGATAAGCTTATTGTTTCAAAAGCTTTTCTTTTGTCAGGACATAAAATATTACAAACTTTGAGCATGCAGTGTTTAATAAACTCTCCATCAGGGAGAGCTTTGTTACTTTTAGCAAAATTGTATGCTACAACATAACATGCATATGTAGCTGCTTGCTGAGAACTATTTCCTTTATTAAAAATACTTTGCTGACCTGATAGTTTTTTGTGTAGATCTTCTGCTTTTTGTTTTCTTTCTTCTTTAGTCATGGCTCTAACCTTGACATCATTGTGCTTAGAGTTGAAGTGTCGTGAAATCTTATATTCTTTGTAGACTGCTACAGTTTCATTGCAGATGAGACATAGTGGTTTATCCCTAAAAACTGTGAAAAAGTACTTCCAAGTCCATTCATCTTTGAAAACACGTCACTCAGAATCAACTTTATGTTTCTTACATAAGATCTTAGGGCTAAAATTTTTCACAATATGCAGCGTAAAACTAACAAACCAACAATGCTAAGACAGGTCTGAATCAAGAAACGTGTTTCGATATCTAGCCACGGTGGAGGGGGTAGCTACTGCGAGGAGTCTCTGTTGCCAGTTTTACTCTTCGCTACAAAGTTGCCAGCAGCTAGTGCCTCTCACTCTCAACATAACATTCCAATATCTAGGATAAGTCAATAAATTTGTATGTTGTCACTAATATAAAATGAGAGAGAGGAAAAAAGTGGAAAATATTTATTTTTCTTATAGCCTGTATTCTTTTTTATTCGTCAGATTAGGAATAATGTTGCATGGGCTGGATAGAACATTTCAGGGGGCCGCATCTGGCCCACGGGCTGTAGTTTGCCCATCACTGATCTAAAGGATAATGTTAAACCTTAAAAATAAAATGAATAATAATAATAGATAAAAATAAGGAAATTTAATAAATTACATTATGTTCAGAAACTATTTAAAACAATTAAAACTATAGTGAAAAATAAAGATTTTATATTAATTCCAGAACCAAAAACAGCAGATATATTGTTATGTTTTAATGATGAAGCAAAACAAGAAAATGTTCTAAGTAAAATTCCTTTATATTCCTTATATTCCTTCAAATGTTTATTGTAAAGCTAGACATAAATATATACGGGGAGACAAAAAGAAAATTAGGGACAAGAATATCTGAGATATTAGATCAATTAAATGTGATTATGATAATTCAGTCATTGCAAAACACTAATACGAATGTCTGAAAAATTGTTACAAAGACTGTTAAAATAATAAAAAATGAAAAGAATTATTACGAAAGACAACTATTTGAACATTTAGAAATATTAGCAAATAAAGATAAAAAATATATGATTGTTTAGGAAGAATTCTGAATAGAATGTGGCACTCTATACTTAACATAAATGGTATAGATAGTATAACTATAAATCTGCATTCTGTAGAGCAATGTTTTTCAACCTTCTTGAATAAGCGACTCCATTACAAGTTAAAAAATTCTGGCGACCCCCAGGGCCATATTAAAACTATGTCAGTGATTTTAAAAACTATGTATTTAAGTTTCTTTCTGTTCAGACCTAAATATCAATTAAAAAACCAATTGTACTGTAAAATAAACAGGCACAGCCTTCTCACTGTGATTGTAGTTTTTTATTGCAGTGTAGGACCTACAAACACTTGTCTTTTTCTTTTACCTGCAACCCCCCGTGTAAGGCTTTGCGACCCCCCTGGGGGTCGTGACCCATAGGTTGAAAAACACTGCTGTAGAGCAGCGATTTTCAACCTTCTTAGCTCCACAATCCCCCAAATAGTAAATATAAATAAAATTAATATTTCCCAACCTCCCTACACAAAGGAATAATAACAGTAAGCCTTACTATTACTGAATGAATTTTGACTGTAATTATAAATGTAAATTTTTTTTTAAATATTATATAATCACATTGCATTAATTTTATACATTAAGAAAATACAGACAGTATAAAAAATTTAATACAACTATTCCTATTATTTTATGTCACTGCATTTATAGCGACTGGTATGAAAATGCATGTATGACGTGTACATACATGAGAAATTTACAAGTTCCAACTTGATGTGTACGTGCTCTTTGTACTTTGATCTTCTTCTATAATACTCACTGTGAGAGCATGTTTGAACATGCACATGGATGTGTTTGAACAAGCTGTGCTGTCACTAGTATAAAAGAGGCACTGGCGATTGCACCACTTCATTTAAGTTTCGAATGCTTGAAGTGTGCATCTGGTGCTTTTATTTTAGTGTGCAGTCATCCATGAAACTGAATTGTTTTTTTTTTTTTTTTAATTTCTAATGCAAAATGGATAAATTTGTGAAAAATCAAAGTGAGCCATCTACATCCAGTAAATCAGTTGGTAAAAAGACAAGATTGTACAATGACAGTTATTTAAATTATGGTTTCACCTCATTAGATGGAAAGCTACAGTGCATTGTTTGCTCTCAAGTTCTCTCCGATGAAAGCATGAAGCAATCAAAATTAGTTTGACACTTGGAAACTAAACATCCGGCTCATAAAAACAAACCCTTAGAATTTTTCAAAAGAAAATTACATACCTTGAGAAATCAACAAACTTCTATTTGTAAGTTAAGCCATATGGATAAAAGTGTACTTGAAGCATCTTATCTCTTAGCATTAAGAGTAGCTATGATGTCCAAACCCCATACAATTGCCGAAAACTTCATATTGCCTGCTGCAATTGATATGATCAGTGTTTTAATAGGTGTGGAAGAAGCAAAAAAATTGAAAAACATTTCACTTTCTAACAACACAATATCAAGGCAAATTGATGACATGGCTGACGATGTTTGCGATCAGATAATTCAGCAAGTGAGTTCAAGTGACTTTTTTTAGTATTCAATTTGATGAATCAACAGATGTAGCAAACATGTCTCAGCTCTTATGTTTTGTGAGGTATGAATGCGATAGGGACACATCAATCAAAGAAAATATGTTGTTTTGCAAAACAGTACCAGGTCATGCAACAGGACAATGTCTTTTTGATGTTTTTTATGAAGCTATGAGAAACTATACTAACATAGATTGGACAAAATGTATTGTAGTATGTAATGATGGTGCAAAGGCGATAACAGGAAAGAACAGTGGATTAATGAAAATATTAAGAGATTGTCTTATACCAAGTGCGAAATGGATGCACTGCTTCCTTCACAGACATGCTCGTCACAAAAATATGCCGGAAAATCTCAATCAAATTCTTTGTGAAGCTATAAAGTTGGTTAATTTTATTAAAAGCTGACCGTTAAGGAACAGGCTGTTTGGTAAACTATGCAATGAAATGGGCAAAAATAAAAAAAATCTCTTCCATACAGAAGTTAGATGGTTATCATGATGGAAAGTGTTAATCCAGATATTGGAATTGCAACATGAATTAATATTTTTCCAAGATAAATAAATACCATTCTCATTGTTTTTACAGAACAATGAGTGTATGTTGTTGTTGGCTTACTTAGCTGATGTATTTTTGCATTTAAACGACTTGAATGTGAATTTACAAGGATGTGATTAAAACATTTTATTAATGGCAGACAAAGTTCATGCATTCATTAAGAAGCTTGATATCTGGATTATTTGCCTTCAAAGGAAAAATTTGGATATGTTCCCACTCACTTTGGTTTATATTGAAAAAAATTTGAATGAACAAGACACTATTATTCACCACAGTTTGAATTGCATAAAGATGCATTTGCGTGCGCTAAAAACTTAGTTGACGGAGTATTTCCCAGAAGATAAAAATGATTTCTCGAAGAGATGAGTACTGAATCCATTTAGTGAAAATGTTGTCATTGCTAAGTTACTAGTTGAGATTCATGACCAGCTCATCGAAATGTCTGCCGACAAAACGTTACAACTGCAATTTACATCTGAAGATTTAAATATGTTTTGGCTTGCTCATCGACATGAATATGGAAATTTAGTCATAAAAGCATTAATCCCTTTTGCCACGTCTTATCTCTGTGAAAAGGGTTTTTCGTCTATGGTTGTGCTAAAAACTAAATACAGGAATCATCTTTTATCACTAAAAAACACTTTGCTTTTGTGTATTTCTAATGTAGATCCATGTATGGAGAAAATTTTAAATGAAAAAGTGACCCCCCTTTAATATTGCTGCGACCCCCAGGTAGAGAAACGTTGCTGTAGAGGAAGGCATGTTGGATTGAGTTAAGTGTTAATGAGTTTTGCATTTTAAACATATAAATTAAAAGAAATGATCAAGTTGGCGTATTAAAAGTGTCCATGTACGAGGAAAGTGATTTTATGCTGTATAAGTGTTATGGGATGCAATATTTAGGTAAGCAGAAATAGTTGTTTCTAACTGCTATTTTTTAAAAATACTTGTAATAGTAAAAGACACTTTTAAATATCTTTTAGTGTGTTTTGTAACCTTTTGTTGATAAAGGGCTACAGTCAAAAATGCTGAATTGTTAGCATACAGAAAAGTATTACAATAAATCTCTGTGATATGTGTGTGAGTTATTCCTCTAGTGCGTGTTATTACTTTTTTCCTTGATATAACAAGTCCTAATATAATAAGTCTTTGTAAAAGAGTTAAATTACTAATTTAAAGATATAAGTTACATTTGATAAATTTTTCTACATTAGTAGTTATATTAATAAATGTTGTATGGCTAAATTGTCATTATAATAAAATATAATTTTTCATCACTTACTTTTAATCCAGCATTCCTTAATAATTCAAGAGTAGGTTTGACATCTTCTTGCAGCTTATCTTCAACACCAGTCAAACAAAGTAATTCCATATCTCTTTCTAAACTCTCCACCACAGCAGCCACCCTTGCAGTTCTATCATGGATACTAACTTTTGCTTGATTGTAACGTGCCTAAAATTAAATATTAACATACAAATTAAATCATTTTTCTATTTCTTCCTAAACTGTATCAATCTTTTCAGATAATTCAACTCATTTCTTTTTTTAAATATATCATTGAAGAGAGACAGAAAACAATGTACAAAAAGCAAAAAGACAACATAAAAAGATAATGATAAAGTTGATACATGCCCAATACAATAAAGATAACAATTATTTCCTTTTTTGTTTTATTTCCAATTATTATTTAATTATTACTTACATCCAATTAAAAATTATTTCCAATTATTCCCAATACAATAAAGATAACAATTATTTTTGGTAACAAAAATTCAATATGATTTATTTTATGTACAGTACATTATATTCTATAATTTCAAAATTTGGTCTGATTTTTTCAAGAAATAAAAAATTTTGAATTATTTNATTGAAGAGAGACAGAAAACAATGTACAAAAAGCAAAAAGACAACATAAAAAGATAATGATAAAGTTGATACATGCCCAATACAATAAAGATAACAATTATTTTTGGTAACAAAAATTCAATATGATTTATTTTATGTACAGTACATTATATTCTATAATTTCAAAATTTGGTCTGATTTTTTCAAGAAATAAAAAATTTTGAATTATTTTCGAATATAAGGAATAATATTAAGCTTCTTATTTTATTGTTACTGATTGCTGGAATAGAACCAAATCCTGGTCCCTTACAGAAAACCCCAACAAAGAGAGGAAGATCATCTACTCGTCAGAAATTGCTGACTAATAGTATCAAACCATTGGAACCAGATTCAAACCTTATCACTGAATATACTAAACCTAGAAGAGCTGAATCATCACATCAAACAGGTGAGCTAATTAATTTAACTTCCTCACAAGAACAATTACCTGTGGAACAAATAGACATTTCAACAGCAGAATTATGGAATAAGATAGTCAAACTGATAACTAATAGTAATGATAAGTTGGTGAGTCAATTTTCACTTATAAGACAAGAAATTAATATAATTCAAAATGAAATTAAAGAATTTAAAGATCAAATTCAACAAATAAAAATACGAAATGATAAAATAGAAAATGAATTTACTAAACTAAGACTGGAAAATGAATTAACTCAATATAAACTGGATACTATGACTAACACTATAAATAATAATAAAATTATAATTTATGATTATACAAATCAGCTTAAAAATATTACTAAAACTGAATTAGCAACATTTTTTTCTAATACTTTAAAAATAGTTTACAGCGAATCAGAAGGTATAGAAAATATATATTCAATACCTAATCCAAATATTCAAATTAAGTGCATATTATTAAAATCAAACCAATTAAGAAATAGAATCCTTGCAGCCTTTAATAAATTGAAATATAACAAGACACTGAGAAATTGGCAAGAAATTAATATGTCAGCTGATTTAAATAAAGATTCTTGCAAAAGAAGAAAAAACTTTTACATTATTATACAGATTTTAAGAAACAAGGATTACAACTAAAACTGCGTGATGACTATTAATTAATCGTCAAAAAATTATATATAGTTATATTCAGGATCAATTGGTATAATCTGGTGATTTTTTGTTGTATTCTCTACAGAAAAACCCAATAACATAATTAATTTAGAATTAAAATGTGAAAATGATCAAGAAATTAAAATTTCAAATATTCTTAACTTAAATATCATAAACTGGAACTGCCAAGGCTTAATCCACAAAATAAAAACTCAAGAATTTTCTCAATTACTATATAATACTGATATCTTAGGTATAACTGAAACCTGGCTAGTCACACCAGTTAACAAAATTATAAAAAATAGAATTGAATATACAATTATATCTTCTGACGCACAGAAACCAATAGGACCAGGGAGACCATATGGAGGACTTTGTCTAATATTAAGAAAAAACATTGGTTCCGTAAAATTTATACAAAAAGCAACTAATTATATTCTAATCTTATTACAAATTGATAATACTGATATGAAACATTTATACAAAAAGTTAATTATTATGGTGTTGGTTTACGTTCCGCCTGACCAGATAGATTTACTAAATGAAATATTCAAAAATCTCGAAAAATGGAAAAATATCTCTCCTTATATATTGTTGTTTGGTGATTTTAATTCCAGAATTGCGCAGATAATAGATTCAGATTATAAAGAACCAAATAATCTAATCCACTTTAACTGAAAATCAAAAAATAATAAACATAACAGATTGGGGCTGCAATTAATAAAAAATACTCAACAATTGCAATTAATAATTTTAAACGGAAGAATAAAAAATGACTATCCATCTGAATTTACTTGTGTTGCTAATATTGGAAGTTCAGTAATAGACCTTACGATATGTTCTGAATTGCTGTCTGACTTATGTGTAAAAATTCAAGTTTTAAATTGAGACCTATCTGATCATTTTCCAGTCATGACTATCTTTGAAATGGCAAATATCCAACCAAATAATAGAAAATTTCAACCCAATCAAATAATAAAATATGATTATCTGAATTTTCAATCGCAAATTAGTGAAAAAATCAAAAATTTACCTAAATTTTTACCAAGAAATGGAATAGAAATATATCATCAATTGGAGAATCTAATAAAAAAAATTCATTAATATAAAAAAGATTAATAGGTAGGTTAGTTTATTGAACATAATAGGCAGTCGCCTGTTACAAGGGGGTACATGACGATGATGTAAGATGGAAAATAAACATTCAATAACAAAAATCAAACATATCTCCACTTTAGAATAACATATAGTATTTAAGATTTTACATTTAAGAGTCTTCTTACACCATTACAGCAATTGTAAATTTCATTAGTGGTAGCTAGATTAAATTTATTGTACATATGATTAACTAAACTTTGGCTAATATTTTGATCTCCAGTGATCTCTGATTCTTGATCTTTATTAAGGTCACATCCATAAAATAAATGAAGCTTTGATAGTGTTTTAGCACAATTTGGACAAACGGAGTGTGCAAATTCCAAATATTTGCCTTCAAATATTANATCTTTATTAAGGTCACATCCATAAAATAAATGAAGCTTTGATAGTGTTTTAGCACAATTTGGACAAACGGAGTGTGCAAATTCCAAATATTTGCCTTCAAATAAAAAAGATTAATATAAAAACCAATAAATTTAAGAAGCCTTGGTATGACTTTACCTGTTATATATCTAAAATAAAGAAGCATCAATCAATAAAATGAAAACAAAATCTGTACCAGGTATGGATCTAATTATAGTTAAATTCTTAAAATTATTACCACCATTGGGAAAACGAGCATTGCTTGAATTATTCGATTCATTCTACAATTCAGCAAACTTTCTGGAGAATTGGAATACAGTAAAACTGATAATGATATATGATATGATATGTTTAAAAGTGTTAGAAGGCCGAACCTTACGGCATAGCCTTTGAAAAGGAAGGATGAAAAGTTTTAGAGGAAATGAGAAGAGGGAAGAAAAGTAAGGAATGATAGGAAAGTGTGAAGTGGGAACCATGGCGACATCGCGTTCCATTTATTGAGTATACTTTAGTTACAACACATGGGACATAGTCCACAGATAACAGTATGGTCAAAATATATACAGAAAATAAGCCCGCACATGGTACTGCCTCTGGGGAGACAGGGAACGCGAGCAATTGACAGCTATGCACGTGGGCAACCGACACAAGCTGCTGAAAATACCAACCCGGAATGTGCTGGAGTACAAAAGCACAAAGTTACACACGAAAGAAAAAAAATAAAAATAAATAAATAAATAAAATATAAATAAATAAATAAATAAATAAATAATAATAATAAACACGAAAAGTCCCCTGACAGCCAACTCGGCCAGGTTACAATGGGGAGCAACAACGCAAAGAACCCCAGATGGCCAACTCGGCCATAATACAGGGGTATACAACACAACACAAGAGTCCCCTGATGGCCAACATGGCCAGGACCCAGTGGGAGTGGTAACAAGACTGGAATCCCCAAATAGCCAGTTCGGCCAGGTTACAATGGGTGTTCCGAGTGATGCTGACAGCTAGGACGCCCAGAAAATCCTAGAACGA